ACGTCGCGTGCATCAGGGTGTCGTTGCCGCAGAAGCCACCGCTGCTTGTCCGTTCCAGGAAATGGTTCACCACCTGGGAAGGAAGCAGAGAAGGTGGACGTGGGTCTCAGACCCTGTTCCTGCACCTCCAGCTGCAATCCTTCCCCCACAACCAGGGCTGTCTGGCCCAAAGAAAAGTTTTGGAGCATGAACATGGCTGAATACACCTGCCAAGGAGCACGTGGCAAGCATTGCCCTGGCTTCACGCAGCCCGTACACTATACCTTGTCATCGGAGGAGAAGGCATACACAACCAACGGCCGCTCACGGCTGTTGATAAAGTCAATGGCTTCGTCCATGTTGGCCACAATGACAATGGGTAAGATGGGGCCAAAGATCTCCTCCTGCATGATAGGATCAGAGGGCTGCAAGTCCACCAGCACCGTCGGAGCTGCAGAGAAAGAAAGCTGAAGGCATCAGCCATGCATAGAGGTTGGAGATGATCCCTTGTTCTTCTCCCCAAGACCCATACCTCCCCTAAGACCGAACGCCTTGCCAAACTCCCTGATTCCCATGCAAACCTTCCCTACATGTCACTTCCATCTAGAACCTCACTTCCAGTTGTGAGACCCACTCCAAAACCTACTCCATGCAAGGATGGAGACTGATGCGAAGTTCAAGTCCTCACCGATGTAGCGCTCCTTCTCATCCGTCTGTCCTCCGATGGCCACACGCCCGCTGCGCAGCAGCTTCTGTACCCGCTGGAAGTGCTTGTCCCCCACGATGCGCCCAAAGTCGGGGGACTCCCGAGGGTTGGAGCCATAAAAATCAGCGATGGTCTTACGCAGGGCGGGCAGCAGCTTCTCCCGCATCTCCACGCTGCACAGCACGTAGTCGGGCGCGATGCAGGTCTGCCCCGCTTTGAAGAAGCGGCCCCAGGCCACCCGCTGGGCCACGTTCTGCACGTCGCAGGTGTCGGACACGTAGCAGGGGTTCTTGCCCCCCAGCTCCAGCGTCACGGGCGTCAGGTGCTTGGCAGCGGCTGTCATCACGATCCTCCCCACGGAGGGGCTGCCTGTGGGCCAGGAAAAGATGCGTCACAGTGAGGATCCCACCATGCTGCAGCCCATCCCGTGGCCTTCACCTCCTGGGGAGCCAGGGAAGACACGTCAAGTTCCACGCCTGTCCTGCACCCACTTTGGTGTGCAGCACGTGGCTGAGCCCTCAGCTCCAGCACCCTCTCCAGCTCAACCCTGGCATCCCCCAGCTCAGTCATTACAAAACCCAGTTATGGCTATTACATCCCTGGACACGTTGGTGGCAGATCCTCCAAGGGATCCCAACACCAGATCCCCAACACAAGCCCTGCCTTGTCAGCAGGTGGGGTGTCCGCTGGGAACCCCTCTTCCTCACTGCACAAATGAGGGCTCTGCTCTGGCCCGTGGGACGTACCGGTGTAGAAGATGTAGTCAAACTTGTTCTCCAGCAGTCTGGTGGTCTCCTCCACGCCGGCGGTCACCACAGCAAAGCAGTCCTGCAACATAAGGGTCCCCGGTGTCAGCACCTGCCCAGGCCACTCTGTCCCCATCCCCACCAGCAGCATCCCGGGCGTGTGGACACCGGCTGAGCGTGGAGGAAGGAGGTACGGTAGCACCTGAAACCAGGGATGGTGCGGCACTGGTGTGTGCATGGCAGGCGCGGTGCTGGGAGGGCGCAGGGCACAGCTCGGTGTGTGCAAGGGGAGGGAACACCCCAGCCACGAGACAAGGACAGGGAGAGCTTCTTACCTTGTCCAGGTAGGTGGGCAGAGCTTCAGCCACAAGTCTCTCTGTGTTCTTGGTCATCTCTGAGGGTTTGATAACGGCACAATTACCTGGGGGAGAATGACAGGACATCAGAGCAGTGACATGGTGACAGCCAGCCCTGCTGGCACCCCAGCCGGGGGACGAGGTGCCCGTGCCCGGCACTGCCACGGCACCAGGGGACAGGTTCAGCGAGGGCCCCGATGAGGGGCCCCAGCAGGAGGTGGATGGGGTAGTTCCATGGCGCGATGACGAGCACCACCCCGTACGGGTCCTTGCGGATGAAGGCCGAGTCCAGCCGGGTCACCTGCGGGACTCCCACCATGTCAGGAGTGCTTCGTTGCACCACCACCTCCGTGCCCACGTCCCTCCCAGCTCTGCCTGGCGGGTGGGTCCTTCCCCCCCCATCCTCTCCCTCATCTTCCCCC